GGCTGAGAAGTTTCACAAGCCACGGATAAGCAATAATGGGATGAACGAGAGGGGTTCAGAGGAGCTATGTCCATAGTAGGCAGCAAGGAGCATTAATGGGAAGGCAAATGGGCCCTCAAATCTAGTCCTATTCCTATGGCCTCTTGCCCTGATTCTTTTACTAATATCTTTTACTTTTTTATTGAATTAATTGGGATGACCTGGATTAATGAAATTATATAGATTTCAGGTGTATAATTCTATAATACATCACCTATATATTGTATTGTGTGCTCACCAGCCCAAGTTGTGATCCTTTTACTATTATAAACTTGCAGATGTCTATTCTGCCCCACTGTTGAGTGCTGATAGTAGACAGAGCAGACATTTTTATTTTTATTGCCTTTGTTATTTGTTTTTATAAGAGCTAAACTTTGGCTCTTTGGTGACTCTAGTGTGATAAGAAGCATGTTGATTCTTCCCTGGAAAACACTTTTTTGACTCACAGGAACTCTGTTTACTATAGCCATTACCTTTTATTTATGTTTGTCAGTTGCTGGGCAGCTAACTAGACTGTGGCATATGGATCCCCGAAGGCAAGGAGAAAGACTGCAACTGCTGTTTGCTGCCTGAAAAGGAGTTCATATTTATGATTTCCCTTACCCCACATTGTGAGTTTAAATGTGGCAGTTTTGAGCTGGGAAAACAGTTTCCATTAACAGATCCCGGAAATGCACTAATGGACTCTGGGCTTGATAGCACACAAAGGGCATTGATTGGCCATGAGCTTCTTCCTGAGGGAAGTTCAATGTGGGAATATACAGCCACTGCTGAGGCTTCATGACCCTTCCTTCTCCCCAACCTTTCCATTGTAAGGCAATATAGCTGGAAAGACTCATAGTAGGAGAGGGAAGGATGTAGGTGCAGAGACAAAGGGGAACGGCACTGGAAGGGATAAGGAGCCACTGGAAGGTAGAAGAAAGGCTGGATTACCAAGTTCTTAATTCTGATTATTTCTGTGAGCTATCAGACCACTTTTCTTTCTTTAAAAATTAAACCTCTAGTGTTTGCTCCTCTCAGACACAAGATACAGTTTGGGGTCAATAGTGTGAAGAGGTATTTGGAGAAAGTGGGTAATCTTCATGGAATAAGCCCCACAACAATGTGGGAGAAGTTTATGTGTGTCCTATATTGGCAGGCTCATGATCTCATTATCAGATAAGAAAGGGGGCTGCCTGGACGGCATTTAATTAAATTTTACCTCTAAATGTCCCCCTTCCTGGGTGATTTTCTGAACTTGAACTCTGATCCCTTATGCTATAATGTTGTTCTTGTTGATTGCTGTGTTGGCTGGGTCTCCACAAAGTGATTGTCAGTTCCCCAGAGCATAAATGATGGTTTCTGTATTTTCTGACCCCTCCCAACAACATTTAGTATAAGATATTCTATGCAGTATAAGAGCTTGAGAAATACTTTTATTTTTTTGAACGAATGGACAAAATCTAAATGCAATATCACCTTAGGTGTCTCTAACTCAGCTATTTGGCAAGCTTACCTACCTGGAACATAATGAAAAAGGATTAGAAAGTGTGAAATTGTAGGATGATTGTTGTAGTTAACAATTATTTAACTGAGGGCTTATCATAGGGCAGGCATCATATTTAGTAATGCAAGCTTTATTTCATTTAATCCTCATGTCTTGATTTGGTTGTCTTGTTATTACTATTTCCATTCCAAAGACAAATATAAACCTTGACTGAGGTTCTAACCCACATCTGTGTGACTGAAGCCAACCCACATAACCACTGCGATTTCCAGCTTTCCAAAGACAGGGCACTGTGTGCTTCAACATGTCCCCTGTAGCGCTCACTTAGGCCCTTCCCTTCCACTCACTCAATCCTTGTAAAAAACTTACTTTGCCTTTACTATTAATAAAAAGCCAATTTGGACAGAAAACAAACAAACAAACAAACAAACAAGAAACTAACTTTGCACACAGTAAGGATCTCTGTTCTCCAAGCCCACAGCTAAGGCAGCAAATGAGAAAAGTCTTATCACAGGCCATTTTATAAGATGCTGATTTTGCAATTTGACAGGACTGGGGATTGGGCCTGCAATCGAGGTACATGCCCTAGACCAGTGGTCGGCAAATTGCGGCTCACAAGCCACAGCTCTTTGGTCCCTTGAGTGTGGCCATGAAGTTTCAATCACACTGTATGTGCGTGCCCGCATGTGGTATTTTGTGAAAGAGCCACACTCAAGGGGCCGCAGTTTGCAGACTACTGTCCTACCCAGAATTGAAATTGGAACCCTTCAGTCCTAGGGCTGACGCTCTACCCACTGAGCAAAACTGGCTAGGGCCCTCTCCTTTCCCTCTCTCCCTCCCTTCCTCCCTCCCTCCCTCCCTCCCATCCTCTCTCTTTCTGGAGATAAAAATGATGGTTCTAGAAAAACGGTAGCCTGGGCCTATTCTGGTTCTGGCAAAGTGCCCTATAGATATGTGCCCTCTGGAAGATTCGCTGTTTTGGAAGCCAGCTCTGTTCCAGCTGCCTGCAGTGTGAGGATCAAATGAGGTGACCGATGTGAAAGTGCTTTGAGCTTAAACTCTGGACTAATGCAGGTAGCTGGATTGGAAGCACCACTGAAGCCACACCTCTGTGTTGGCAAATGCCCTACCTGGCACACTTTGCCACTTTGTGGAACCCTATGCATTTGACAAGCTCTAATACATGTTGTTCTCTGCAAATTCCGATGTAATGACCCCAGGCAGAATGGATGAGGTCTTCCCTTCTGTCCCGCCATACTTGCATGCCCTGTAACAGCAAACTCATCACTCCATTAACCATCAGCAGCTCCTCCAACCAGAGGGCTCTTCAGTGGCAGGGACCCTTCTGCCAGCATGATAGGTAACACTGTAGCTGCTTGATTAATGTTGTTGATTAAAGGAGTGGTTTTAAATTTCTGAGATGTATGTTGTACAATAGGGGTTACTTGATCCCCCAGAAATTGCACACTGGTTTTACATATGTGATAGACATTTCTGGCCCTATAACTTTCTTGGAGCTAAAATCCCTGATATATAGCCCAGAGAACTGAAAGGGGATCTGAAGTCCGGCTCCTCCAACAGGCATTCTGCAGACAGAAAGCATTCCAGAGGCACCTTTAATCCCCAGCCCAGCCCATACTCTGAGAAGCAGGTGTCAGCAGTTCATTTGCAACCCCATCTGATCCTGTAATGCAGAACCATTTGCCAGCAACAGGAGGCACATGGGTTTGTGTCAGACACCTTGGAGGTGCTTGACAAAAGATAATGGAGTGAATGAATGAAACTCTCCCTACAATTAACACAGGGAGTGAAAACACCATTCAGGAAGAGAGCCAGCACACTGGTTTCATCTCAGCCACCTCTGCTTCATGAAAAGAAGAAAAGCTGGGCCAATTCTATAGACTGGGCACCAAAAAGCAGACGTCAATGTGAACAGAATGCTGGGCAGGCCAGCAGGACCGTTATTTTCATGTGGATTTAAAAATACACAGGGTCATAATGTTGGAGAATTATCTCCTCCAGTGATAGAGACTGGCTCCTGAGGAAGACAAGGAAACTCCCAGCCTTCCACCGCACCTGAACTTGTCTCTAGGTCGCATTGCCCTTCTTCCTTCCCCCTTCCTCTACCACCGCCAGCCCCTTAGCAATTGCTTCAGTAGCTCCACTTGTAT